GRTCAAGTCTTTCTAATTTCTCACTTTCATCAAGCRTTAACCAAAATTRGGTTAATTTTYCGTTATTGACTACTTGTTTAGTATYTTATATATACTTTAATCTTCACATTTTGCATKATTTYAYGTTTATMAATTTARGRAAAAACTKTTGCCCAATTTACTACTAGTTTTAATAATAYAATTAATAAATKAAAGGGATTTATTCCAAAAATTTTCGGACGCCAACAATCTTCAATAAAAAACAAATGTCRWCAAAATGTTTCCAAGCCAAYAAAGAAAGTCTTCARGTGAACTATTGTTATTGTTTGCTTCTAAAAATTAAACRAAATCAAAACGCGAAAAAAAGTATATATTTATTAATTTAAATTGTAAGATAAGTCATAGATATTTGAAAAAATATATTAATTTCTATTAAGCGATATCTTTTTSGTWTCAATTTTCAAACCGAAGTCCATGTAATTTAAAAATGCTATTCTTACTTAAARTCACRTCTAATCACATTCATTGAAAAATTATTCGTATCGCATATTYCAATTAGSCTGTTTTTAATTCATCAAAAAATTAAAKTACCGGAAAAACGGTTAATCCAATTCCCCATTTCTTACGAACAACTTTCTGCCCTTAAATTAAAAGTTTCTCTACAGTTGGCGAACCCTCTAAACTCCTCCATCTCGGACTCTAACTCTTAATTGACGCCTCTTAATTTGAAACTCACTAATTGCGCGGTCTTTGGGGTTTAATAGATCAGCGGCGGAGGGACAATGATTGGCAAATTAAACTGATTCCGAATGACCAAATCATGGTTTGAATAAAAATTTTCATTAACGGTTCAAAATTTATTTTTTCCTTCATCTGACCTCATTTATTTTATTTCCTTTGGTTTAGTCCAGATAAGTTGTCTTGAAGTCTAGTAAACTAGTAAATTAATATTTACTTTGGTCATTATACTGATTGGAAGAAAATAATTTATGTATTCATCAAAATACATAAAAGCAAATGTAATTTTGAATACGGCTCTATATGACTATTTTGGTCCATATTAAAAATTCTCCACTTTAAAGGAAATCTTTCAAGGAAAGAAAGGAATAATGCATTTTTTATCCAAACAAACATGTAACGAAAGCGACACACGTTGGTACTTTCATGTAAAAAATTGCAATAGTTGTTTTTAAAATGTAAATATTTAATTTTAGAGCTTCATGCATAAACGATTAACTCAACTAACTGTAAATATGTAATAACTAAACGTAAATGGGAAATATTGTATATCAATTTAAATGATTTCTTAATTGGGCTGTAGGTATTATTAAATTATAAATATAATTTTATGTTAAAATATCAGCAAAGCAACTGAATAAAAAATTTCGAAAGAAAATGAAAATGGACAATCTCTCGATCAAACGTACTCGCCATCATTTAAATCTAAAACTACGTAGCGGAAAATCAAAGTTAGCGAAAGTTCGATTGACAAGCTAAATATATTTATAAGGGAATTTATATCAATTTCGGAAAAGTCGTATCGGTATCAATACCGTCAAATTCTATTAATAAAAATATCAAGACAACCCGGTTCCAAATCGAGTAGCACTTAGAGTTAGGGACAAGTTTGTAAGGACGCATTTTTTCAAGTCACGTGCCCGTCCTGTAACACATGAAAAGCATTTGGAGGGCCCCAAGTCAAAGTTATGTGTTGCCCGTATTAAAAGTGGAAACTCCCCCCTGTTTGAAGCGTCCAAAAAGCTTTTATAAAGTGCGAAAATCGGGCGTCAGAAGATTTATTAAGGATATATTAAGACATAAGTGAAGGCAGCTTTTTAAGTCGTGAGTTATTGTTGAAATGTCTAACGATGTTCTTTAAGACATTTGAATTAAATTGAGCCTCAGAAGAAATTCCTTAATTTAAGACGAGTAATTTAGAGCATTAAGCCGGCTTAATTTACATTTTTCTAATTAACTTCCCAAAGCCCACCCGTGGGATTCATAAAAAATGAAATGGCCATTCGTTCTCTTGGCAGAGCGTTTTCTCACCACCAGGGAATGCTTTCGAATATTGTTCTTTTATTTATGAATTTCGCAAAGGTAAAGCTTATAATTGAATTAAATAATATTCCCTGGTAGGAACTATACGCGTTTTTCCTTAGTTTCCCTGGTATCTTCAATAAAACACACCGCGATATTTCCGTTTCTTATTATTCTGCTTAACAATTGCGCAATTTAAATACGTAATGAATGCTTAAGAATGATTTATTTCTAAAATAGACAAATTAAAATATTAAGAGATTTTTTCGCATAAATCGTTAACATCGTATACTGGAATTCCTATAGCAACTTTTCCGTGCAAAATTTCTTAATTATTTTAACACATTTACAAGCATAACCAAAGAGCTGGTAAACTTTCTGGTTCAAATAATCATGGAATATGTTCCACAGTTTTAGATCCAAAGAATCTGCAGGCTGAACAGTTTAAAACTAAAAATATTTTTGCCTCTATGAGTTATTGTGCTTAAATATTGCTTAATTAAATTAGCTTAAATAAAGCTCTTACTAAAATTTTTGTTAGCGACACCAACAAAAAAAACGGTTCTTAGAAAAATCTATCGTCACTCAGTCCCATAATATTAAATGATATTTATGTTATGGCATCGCTATCTTTTTCCTGGTCAAAGTTTTCTTGTTTCATTTTCAACTTATTTTTAAATAGACTTGGAAAATTGTCCATGTTGGTAAGGTTTGTATTTTTGCTTAATCTTACAGGTAATGTTTTAAAGTTTTTGCTGCTATAGTTATCATGTTTCAATTAATCGTTTAAAGCAACATTTTCATAATTTTTTCTGAGATATCTATTATAAAGTTTAGTTCAGCATCATTATTCGTCGTTTGCCTTTCCATGCAAATTTTAAAGCTGCTTGAACTACGAATCATTCTATAATTCTCCGACTTTCTGGGTTTTATTAAAAATAAATTGTCCATACTTTCCTGACTGTGTTTCAATTCCAAATCAAAATTAATTCCTGGGTTTCAGTCATTTATTGTCTCTATTTATCAATTAAAATACGTTTCGGTGTATTTTTCCACCATCGTCAGTTTTTATGTGTAGCGTTGTTGCTACTTTAAGCCTTGGCATACATCTTTTGGCATACATACAAAATTAATTTTGATTTCGAATTAAAAATAAATAGTAAAGCAAGTTGGATCATTAAATATATGCATGCTATTATTATTTCGGTGCTTACCTGAAATGTCTGGCATGTTTTGCTGTATATTTTATAAAAATAGCGCCGTTTAAAGGAAAAACTATCCAAAAAACTAAACACTTTGTTTAGACTTAAGCTTTTGTCATTTCTGAATTTGTTTACACCAAATTGTAGGTATTGATGGCCCCAGAATATAAGTTTCCTTGAAAAAAGTGGACTTACGCACTTTTCATATGACTAGAGGTAGAGCCAATTTATTTAATTAAACAAAACCGCACAAAGTCAAAACCAGTTTTCCTCTAAATCTTATGAAACTTCGCTTCAAAGGATTTGTTCAGCAGGGATAAACAATCCTTTCTATTCGTCTAATTCATTTAATAATAAATATGTCAACCGTTTGACCATATAAACCCCTATTGTAATTGCGAGAAATCCATCTAGTGGATGTCTTAGTTCCATTGTCCAATATTGGCAATAACTCCGAAAGTTTTGATAGAACGCCAGTAGTATTTCATTAAAGTTCGGTCGCCGATAAAATCCAAAACTGGACGAAATCATCCCTTCCGCGCCATTTGGCCCCGACAGATTTATTAGAGCCGTATATCTTCACCCTAAATGGTGAGAAATACGACCCTCAGATTTACCGAGGTATTTAATAGAAATAACGTATGTTATTTACGGTGAACGAACAAAGGACAAATTTCTACTTCTTTGGAATGCATTAAAATTCCCGGTTAATTTTTCGATTTCAATATGGATTATCTCTTGTTGCAGTGCTCGGAATCCCTCTCATCGGGGGATATTGGAGTGCTGGCATCCAGAGCAGGGCCCAACATGGTTTGGCATCCAGCCTGCTTCACCTGCTGCGTTTGCAGGGAACTGCTGGTGGATCTAATCTACTTCTTCAAAGAAGGACGACTGTATTGTGGAAGGCATCATGCGGAAACCGTCAAGCCCAGATGTAGTGCTTGCGATGAGGTAAAATTAACTTTTCTTCTATTCAAAAGTACCGATCAACGCCCAAATCGGTGAGCTGAATGGTGTTTGAGCTTTTGTTGGGTTGATCACCTAAAACCGTGGTTTGCCTACTCAATGTTTCAACAGGGACTTCTCTACTGATCTGATGTTTTATTCCAAAGCGCAACTCGTTTTTCCTCACACCGCGAAACAAAGAAAAACACTCTTACAACAGCATGTTAAGTGGACTTGCTACAGCTATGAAGGAACCAAGAAACACAACATCGACCCAAATAATACGCAAATAGTTGGAAACATTAGCGGTCACACTATCACATCTGCGGAGCAATTTAATTAATAGCTAAAGAAAGAAACTTTTCCATTGCACAAGAATGATTCCAATGGGAAACGTTATCCAAGCCTATAGTTTTAATGCGGCCTGTTAGATGGTTTTACTCTTTGGTACACAAGCTTGATGACATTAAAATAATCATCAACAGGAGATACTTTACCATGAATCTAAAGCATTTTGTGATTGATTATTGTACTGATGTCGATGTAAATGTTGGTATATGAACGTTCGTTGGAGGCGCAACCAAAATATCATATTGAGTTTCGCTTTCTGAGTAAAACTACTAGAATTTCCTCGCTAATGTTGTTATGACTGAATCAACCCGATTCTCTGACCCCTATGGCTCAAATGGTTCGTGAGAAACTTCGAAAAAAGCAGCGGCATGTTTGAGTCGATTTTTCAAAAAAAAAACGCGCAAATCTAAAACTTCTTGAAACCAAGACTTTTGTGAGAAAACTGCCAACATTTTCCTATCGATGGTACTTGGATGGACTTAGTAAAAAAGCCATTTAGTTCTCGCTGGAATGATGTAACAATGAGCGTTCTTGCTTATTTTGCTTATCCGAGAAATGAGCAAAAACGGGACAAAAAGCATGAAAATTTGGCCTAAAACTTCTTGAAATCAATACGTTTCTGAGAAAACGTCTTTCTAAGTGTCTGATATTCAAATTTCGTTTTCTGGATCAAAACTACTCGAATTTCCTCACTCCAAAACCAATTATGTGGCTCGAATAATTCTTGAGAAACTTTTTTCGATTTTGGAACTTTTCGAAAACGATTTTGCAAAAAAAAACGAGCAAATCTAAAACTTCTTGAAATCAAGACTTTGTAGAGAAAATTGCCAACATTTCCGTATCGATGGTTCAGTTTCTAAAAAGGCCATTTAGTTCTCTCAGAAATGATGTAACAATGGGGGTTCTTGCGAATTTTGCTTCCGAGAAATGAGCAAAAACGGGACGAAAAACATAAAATGTTGGCCTAATTTTGCACCTAAATGTCTGATATTCAAATGGCCCCTTCTTGGGGTCAAAACTCTTCGAATTTCCTCAATCATGTTGTTATGATAAACGAATTTTCAATTCTCTATCCAACGATACCAACGTCATGAAGACTCCCATGTGTTGGGTTTATGTCGACTAACGATAATTTTTCTAATTTCATAGACAACAAAAGACTGAATTTTACGCCCCTGCATATATTGGTCTTTATCTGATATTGTTAAAATAAGCACATTTAGATAAAGCGAGGGCAAGAAAATTGCTAAATATTCGTAACGCGATGCAACAATTTTGTCGGAACAGCTCCAATATTATAACGAACGGAAATGTTTAAAAATAGTTCCATAAACGGAAATTTGCCACCCGAAATGTGACTTTTCATTTCAATCATCTCCACATTTTGCCATCCAGTGCCGGACAAATGGCCGACAACCTTTCCTCACTTAAATGAAGTTAAAACTGCCCAATCATTGCATCCTTAATGTCTGCACTTGGTCTAAAAAGCTTAAAGTAATTATGCAAAAATAAAATACGTATCGCTTGTAAATTTATTGCCTTGATTATAGGCAAGGGGCTACTGATGAGCATCTTATTTCTTCGAGTTATGCAGGCAAAGTCACTTTTTTGCAGTAGAGCGTGCAGAAAATAATATATTTCGAAAAGGCGCAAGTAACCGTAAAGTTAACGCATCGGTTATTGATATGCGATCCGTTAAGAATGTACAGTTTTATATCAGTTGACTTTTCATCCTTTGGGAGGAATTTGCTGGTACAAAGTGGCAATGTTGGTTACAATATTTTTAAGGAGATACTAGGGTTTTTTATTTTGGTGGAAACAAGCCCTAAGACGCAACATGACAAAAAATGTATATATATTTTGCGTAAATTTTTCTAGATATGAAAATGTCACGCAACTTTTTTCCCCCGAAAACCTTCATTTAAAGCCAAACTGCGACTTGAGTTTATTGATATTCTAATATTCCGGTATGCAATGAAAACTGATGTTTTATAAGAGAAGCATAATAACTCATCTGAAAAACTAAATTTTGAAACTATCCATATCAGTAAAATGATCTGCGTAATTTACGCAATGTTAATAAGTAAACACTCTTCTGTTTATTGTGCCCTCCGGACAGCACCTCCAGAGGAACGGCGCCAATTTTGAATCACCCCTGAAATATATTTACTTTTTGGAAAATAGGTCTTTTTGGTTGTTTACAATTATATACAGCTCGAGAGCAAAATTCGATGAAGTAACCATTCATTCCAATAAACAGTGGCAAAATTTCGATTCTCAACTAGTGGCAAAAATTGTATTTTCTGAATTTCCAGATAATACTTGCCGATGAATGCACCGAAGCAGAAGGACGGGCATGGCATATGAAGCATTTTGCGTGTTCGGAATGCGAAAGGCAACTAGGAGGTCAAAGATACATAATGAGAGATGGACGTCCCTATTGTTTACACTGTTTCGATGCCATGTTTGCGGAATATTGCGATAGCTGTGGAGAACCAATCGGGGTTGACCAGGTAGGTTACTCAATTATGCTTCTTTAACAATTTGTTCACTTTATTTGATTCAACAAAAAATAGATCTTAAACGAATCAATATTATCGTCATTATTTAAGGGGCAGATGAGTCATGAAGGCCAACACTGGCACGCCACTGAGAGCTGTTTCTGTTGCCACACTTGCCGCACCTCATTGCTGGGAAGGCCATTCTTGCCCCGTAGAGGAGCCATCTACTGTTCAATTGCCTGCAGCAAAGGAGAACCGCCCACACCGTCGGATAGCAGCGGCCCCGGCACTCGGTGAGTGGATCAAAAATCTGCAACATGTCCCGAAAATGCTTAAACAATTCCTCCTTTCCAGGCTCCCCCGCCACGTTAAGCAACGCGGTAACAATCCCTCAGGGTCCCATCAAAACGACAGAGCCGCTTCCCCCAGTGAAACCAGCTCGCCTCCAGGTTCGCCCTCCACCTACCCAGCACACCCCCAGCGTTCCCCGATCACCAGCACGCCATCCAGCCCCATTGGTTCGATGTGCTCCCCTCAGAACCACCCCGCTCAGTATTCATTGAGCAGTGTTAGTCAAAGTCACGTACCTGCTTCCCTGCAAAGTCTCAGCCACACGCCGTCACCGATCAGATCGCCGAAAATGGGGCGGCGAGCCCTACAGCGCAGCCCTAAACCTGGAGGCTCTTTGGCTAGCACTCCCACACCTTCGGAAAGCGGCGACAAGGAGTTTGAGGCCCGAGAAGCCACCAGTAGGGAGGTTGAAGATCGAATTGGAGGGACGGAGAAGAGCCTCGATAGGGTTCTGTTGGAGCGAAACCTAGACAGGTACTGAACAGATAGATAGATAGAAGTGTTCTGGTAATATTTTACAAAAACTTCATTTGCTTCAGGCTGCTTTCTGAGCGAGGCAACTCGACGCATCATTCTCCCGATCTGGAAAAGTTGCTCAGCGCGAGGGACAGGAGCAGAGAACCGTTGCACTTAGCAGACCTAAGTCTGGATGATTGGGCGGATAGGCTAAGCTACGATGGCGACAAGAAAGACGATTACCCAGCCAAAGAAGAAAAAGTTGGTGCTAAAGGCCTGGAACAGGGTACAGTGCACGCTAATAGCATGCCAGAGCTACCTGTAAGTATTTTTTCTTTTTCAAGGCATATATGAAAATATGTGCTACCGGTTTTTT